CTGAGAGAGTCTAGAGTGGTCAGGACCCTGAGCTGTGTGAGGAGGACAAGGACAAAAGGGGAGAGCAGGTATATCAGCCAGGAGACCAGAAAAGAGGAGAGGTAACCAAAATGTTTGGATTATATAGGCAAGGGCAGCTGGAAGGAGAGAAATGAGAAATTTAGGGTAAGGGTGGGGTGTGCCAGAGGGCCCTGTAACAGGTAGGGACTGAGGGATGCAGGGAGAATCTAGCAGCCAGAGTCCAGTTTGATATGTTAAATAGACACCTCAGCTGTTTGTCCTGGGTTTGAAACCTAACAATTACATTGTTTCCTGCCCTGTCCTATTGAGAGGCAGCCCCAAAGTCTCAAGCCTGTAATTCCAGCTACCTGGGAGACTGAAACACAAGGATTACAAATTGAAATCCAACCTGGTCAATTTAGCAGGAGATCCTATCTCAAAATACAAAGTTAAAAAGAGTGCTGGGGATATAGCTCAGTGGTAAAATGCTTTGCATGTGTGAGACTCTAGTTCTATTTCCAGAACTACCAAAAACATTAAAAAAAAAAAAAAGAAAGAAAGAAAGAAAGAAAGTGGCTATCCCAATAACAGAAATGTTTTTTGTTCCCCAGAATCAGAATATTCAAAGTGTTTTGTTGTGTATACTCAAAACATGTTTTACTCATCATTTTGCCTGCAGTTCAGAAGCATCTTTGATGTACTATATTGGGTCCAACTTCTTCGAATTCTGCAGCAGTGATCCACATGTCTTGGAAGGCAGACAAGGATGCAAGAATAGATCCACCCATCCACACTGATATCTTCCTTTCTGGGGGAGCTGTAACCTGCACAGGGGTATTGGCAGGTGCCATCTTTGCCACATCTTTAATGAGTCGCTTATCTAAACCAGGAAAAGAGGTCGATCCTCCAGCAAGGATAATATTGGAGAAGAAGGAATTCCTGAGATCAGTGTCGCATTTCATGATGCTGCCGAGGCACATCTTATCGATGCCAGGGGCATCAACGTTCACAAGCCACGGAGAGAAGAGAGCCTCTGGGCAACGAAAGACTTGGTTATGGAGTTTGATAGTCTTCCCATCAGGTAGTGTGTACATTTTCTCTAGACTAGGTTCCTTGGCCATTTCTTCCTCATAGTTCATTGCCACATAACAAGTGTTCTCCTTAATGTCTGCCACGATCTTTCTGTCCCCAGTTCTAAGCAGCATGACACCATCATCCTTCAACAACATCATGAGGTAGCTGGTGAGGTCAAGTCCTGCCACATTTAGCTGTTTTACACCATGAGGCAGACAGTAGCCCTCAAAGACCGGCACACACTGAGTAATCCCAGCCCCTGAATTCAGTACCAGGCCGGTGGTGAAGCCAGCAGCAAAGAGTGCTAACACAGCCTGGACAGACAGATAGAAGGCAGGGACACCCAAGTTTTCAAAAAACACTTCAGAGATGTGCTGCCGGTTCACCAATGGGTTCAGTGCAGGTTCTGTAACCAAGACTGGGCCGTCACTGGCCTTCAGGTTCAGGTTATAGTCATAGATATGCTTCCACATGACCTCCATGTCCCCCCAGGAAGAGATGAGGCCTCGGTCCACTGGATAGCTGGGGGGAGAACAATGAAATATTAAGTCTTGTGCTTTTGTAGTTCTTGTTAGTGGTGGTTTTTAGATTTGACTTTTAAAGTGTGTGTGTGTGTGTGTGTGTGTGTGTGTGTGTGTGTGTTTGTGTGTTATTTGATAGTTCTTGTTTGAGACAGAGTCTCACTGTGTAGCCCTGGCTAAGGCTAGAACTCAATATGCAGATCGAGCTGGTCTGGAATTCAGACTTCTGCCTTGAATGCTACATACGTTTTTAATATTTACCCTCTATGGTCTTTTAAAGCTAAAGTATTGCTTTCTGGTCAGCAACAGAAGGTAACTACCAGTAAACGGCACAACTACCTTTCTCTGCAGTCGTTTTGCTTGGCTAGTTTTCTCCTCTTTGGAGAATGTGACTTCAAAAAGTTAGGAAATTCCCACAACTTTGCAAATAGTTCGAGTCCACGCCAAATAACAAAACCTACAAATTGAGTCACATTCTTAGGGGCACACTTATAGCACGGTCACTATATACATTTGAATATATTTGTGTACAGAGAACATAGAGAACAGAGGCGGGGCTGGCTGAAGCTTTCGGGTTCCTCTCCCTGGCCCTTCCAGGGAAGCTTTGACTCATCCCGTGGTACCTGATGGACAGGAAGCTCCTGCGCTCCTGTGCTTGGTCACCTACACACAACTCCAGCTCACAGTCCACCGCAGTGTTGTGGCCCTTGGTCCGGCCCAGAATGTTCGGGTAAACGAACTGGGGCTCTCGGGTTCCAGCCAGGCCCGCCTTGATCATTTCCGAGCCATTGTCGATCACCACTGGTGGCTGGTAGCCGCTCATGTCGCCGGTGCTGCTGCCTCTGCGGCCTCGGTGTCACTCCTGCCAGGCTGTGCCGGCCCAGGTGCCTGGAACGCGGCGTCACAGAGGACCCAGCCACCCGCTGGTCCGTGCGACCGCTTCTCGCTGGGCTGAGTCTCACTGCTGCCCCGGAAACTCGCAACATCAATACCAGAAAAACCCTCGCAAAACACACAAATATAACACTTTGCAAGGGACTTTCTCGAAAACTGTGAAAAGCTGTTAAAAAAAAAAAAAAAAAAAAAAAAAAAAAAAAAACGACTGTCCCCAAGCCCTTGAATTCTAGTTAACAGGAGTTCCAGCAGCGCCCGGGGACGCCCTTGAGATTGGGGAAGGGCCTGGGAATATTGTAGGAAGGCACTGCCTTAAAACGCTCAACTGCGGCGTTTGTGGACTGTATGTATAGTAGACAAATGCCTCACCTTCCCTGTAGTTTCTAAAACTACGCAATTCAAAGGACAGAGCCATTTGTTGTTTCGTGAGCTATTTTAGCACAGGCTGGCCTCGAACTCACCAGAATTCTCGTTTTCGCCTCTGAGTTCTGGGGTACTCAGCTCCTCCTCTCTCCTCCTCTCATCTTCCCCAATCCTCCCTTCTTCCCTCCTCCTCGTCCGATTCATCTTTTTGGATTATATCTCTAGATCCTACGAAGCTAAATTACATTTCCTAGGATTGATTTTTTAGGAATAAGGACACATCTGCCACTTGGTAAGAAAAAGTCCTTAGATCATTATGAAGTTCAGTTCAGAAAGAAAATGCATTGCGAGGCAAAACGAACGTCTTTGGTGGCTGATCTCCGCATCTTTGGTTTAGGGGCTTTAAAACTGGTACAAATTAGAACTTTTGGTAGGTATTCGGAAGCAGGATGGAAAAGTAATTTACATGTCCTCCCACTATAAGCCGGACGAGGCGTAATTCTGTGCTATCTCTCTGGGAGCCGGGACCTCGACAACTGCGCGCCACAGCTTCCCCAGCAGGAGAGCATAACCTGCGGGAACTGAGAACAAAAGGGCCAGAAACTAGGGTCTCCAGCGACGGGGCTTTGCAAGAAGTTTGCAAACAGATTCGGACTATTGAAATAGTTGAATTAACTCACTCCCAATTAAAATGTACATGAATCTTAAAGTGAAATGTATCCGAATACTTCACGTATCACACACTTTTCAGAGGACTTGCTCAGCCAAGTTTCCGTAGTGTAGTGGTTATCACGTTCGCCTAACACGCGAAAGGTCCCCGGTTCGAAACCGGGCGGAAACACGTGTTAACTTTTTAATCATTGCTCTTTATCTGGGTTCACTTTTCAAAAGCTACGATCTGAAGACCTTGAGGGCAGATCCTGTAAGCGACATAAGTTAAAGAAACATTTTTACGTTGAAAACAAACACCCAGAAGAGAACACCATGTGGGCAACGAAGTAACTATTGATCCTAGATGGCTTGCCTAGCATTCACACTCTGGGTTCCATCCCAACAAACCAAAAGCCAACTGTTAGCTCTATCGCATGTGGGGCAATTTTGTATTGTATCACTTAGTTTTCCCTCTCGAGATTCTATTTTCCTTTCTATGCCAGGCTATATTTTATTCTTAATCTGCATGTCAAGTTCACCACATACTTCAAAATTAATTAGCGAAAAGGGCTAAAAAAAAAAAAAGGTGAAATTAAAAATAAATTTATACTCAGAAATATAAAGAAGTAGCTGCAACATTATTCTTATAAACACGACTGTGGTTTTATTCACAAATTCTTACAGAGATGTTATAATGCGAAAAGATTCAAATCTCAAATTTTTTGAGGAGGTCTTTTAAAATAAAGTCAGGGGTAAATTCCTTAAGGTCACATAACTTTTAACAACAAACTTTTAAGTTGTGATTTTAAGATTTATGACGTCCGCGGGCTCTAAGGAGGAACCTATCCTAACACATCAAAACTTTGTGGCACTTTCGTATAGTGCAGGGGTAACTGCCCGCTTCTTCCTTTACTGCACAAATCAGAATTCGACGTAAATAATTGTGCTAAAATTGTTCTTGTTCAGACGCAGGAAAACCTTTTTCCGGTAGAAAGCCCACCTTCCTCTCACGTGGCGCATGCCCAGTGCGCTCTGCTGCTTTGCTTTCGAGCATCTCTGCCTTCTGTCTCCAGGTAAGGGCATCCTGGAAGATGAGCTTCAGTGGGCCGGCTCAAGCAGAGCTCTGGGGGTCCCAAGAGCTTTTGGGTATGCAAAAGAGGAAGGAGTGATTGGTCTCCACTCAAGCACATCCCTCCCACCCGCCATGGTCAAGAGTCAGGGTGCACAGCGCCGCAGTCTCCACTGGAGGGACGCTAATAAAGGGAGGATGACAGAAGAGGAAAAGAACTACAATTCCCAGCATGCAACGCGCCCTGTGGCTCCGGGAGAGCCGGGCTGTGCTCTTGAGCTGGGTCTCAGCCCAGAATCTGGGCCGACTGCTGCGGGCTGACAAGGTGAGCATGTGGCGTAGGAGGTGAGTGAGCACTGAGGTGTGTTCTGACGACCCGGGCGTGTCGGGAAGGCCGACCTCTAATAGCCAACTCGCCCGCCCTAGAGGTGTCCACCCTGGACCACACAACCGGACGTGACGATACAGCGGAGGAGGAAGGGAGAGGCGGAGCATCAAGGTGACGTCCTTCCAAGATGGCGGAGAGAGAGTGAAGAAACTGTTTCCCTTGGGCGGCTACCGGTGAGTGCCGCCCTCTGCCTGGCCTGTCGATCTCGAGCTCTTGGATCCCGGGGTCCTGCGTGGCCAGGCCCCGGAGATCGAGCGCGCTTCGGGCCGTAGGAGGGTCTCCTGGGAGAGGCATCCTCCAAGGTGGCTGTAGCCGCAGCCGTGCTGTGGGAACTCGCACGAGTGCAAGCTGGGAGGAGGGCAGGGCGGCGAAGGCCCGGGAGGACTTGCTGGGGCTGTCACTCCGCTGCTGTGGGCTTGCAGCGGGCAGGCAAGGGGTGTGTCCTCCTGGGTGGTGAAGGAACCTGTGACAGCCCCAGTCAGGTTGGGGCGTTCCCGCCCCCTTGCACCTGCCCAGCACTTGGAAGGAACCTCACGGTCTAAGCCTACAGGTTTCAGTGATCAGAGAGCAACGAAAACAACTCGTATCATGGTATCATGTTCTTATCTCCCGCTGCCTCAAGCAGTCATTTCTTAGTATGTTTATGCGCCTTCAAGTAATTATGTCTCCTGAGCTTGGAAGTTTGAGGGGCCAACTATAAAAGCATAGGATTTTAAGGCCTTTTTTTTTTTTTTTTTTTTTTTTTTACAACTCATGAAATTGGTTTTGTTCACCGTCACTTATTGCTTTAGTGTCCTAGTGTAGTAAAACAAAGAAAGGCACTTTATCATCTTGTGTGTTTGTTTGATTAGGCTTTGAGGGGCGCAATGTAAGAGCCCTGTTCTTGTGTTTGGTCTTTTGTTCCCTTCTCCACCCTCCCTTACCTCTGCTGTCGTGGATGTCTGTGAAAGGTGATGATTATTGATTTACTGTTTCTTTTTGTCTTTTAGATCAAGGGTAAAGTTCCATTCTGTTACCAAAATGCAGTATTCACACCACTGTGAGCACCTTCTAGAGAGACTGAACAAACAACGGGAAGCAGGTTTTCTTTGTGACTGTACCATAGTGATCGGAGAATTCCAGTTTAAGGCGCACAGAAATGTGCTTGCCTCCTTTAGCGAGTATTTTGGTGCGATCTACAGAAGCACTTCCGAGAACAATGTTTTCCTTGACCAGAGTCAGGTGAAGGCTGACGGATTTCAGAAACTGTTGGAGTTTATATATACAGGAACTTTAAATCTCGACAGGTAAAGTACACGTTTCTACTCAGTTATAAAAGCTACTCACATAGTCTTTCGGGCTCAAGAAGATTCCTGTTTCCCCATTAACTCCACACTCATTATTGATATGTGCTATATATGCATACACTGTATGTGTATGTATACATTTAAACATAATATATACACAGAGCTTTAGTAGCTCCGTTTAGGATGAAAAGATGTTTGATAACCACACACACACACACACAAAACCCTTAAAAGTCAAGAATTCTGTTTGACGAATTTATTCACTCAAAAAGAAGTCATTTATTTGAATTTTGCAAATGTAAAGTTTTAGCAATGAATTCTAAGTGAATTTTAATTTCCCCTTTCCTTTGGTCTCTGTGCTCCTCTGACTTTCCCTCTCACTCACTCTCTGCCCCTTCTTGTAAGATGTTTGGAGTAGTGTTGAAAGGACCACCCCTGAGCTCATGCCCTACTGCCTTTTATTGCTAACACTAAACAGCAGTGTGCAGGATTCCTGATCATGGTTAGAAGGTAACTTTGTGGGAATATGAGTAACAGTAACTTTGTTACTGTTGTTAACCTACCTACAGCTTAGATCAAGCCAGACATTTACCAAGCTTCTCCTAAAACTCTTTAACTGCTGGCCTCCAGTGATGTCTCCAGTGGTTGGGTGCCTGCCCTGCAAGCATGAGGACCTGATTTTGGATCCCCAGCACCAATGTCAAACATTTTTATAATACCAATGTTTCCAGGGTGGGCACAGATGGTTTCCTGGAGTTCATTAGCCAGCCAGCCTGCCTAACAGAATCTGTCAGATTCAAATTCAGTGAAGAGTAACAGAGGAAGACACCCTGAGTCATCTGTGGCCTCCATACATAAGTACACACACATTTGCCTTACATGTGCACATGAATGCACACATACTACTGTGTCAAAAGATGCTTACTGCTGTCCCTTCAATAGCAAGTAGGTTCTTCAGAGTCTCATAGTATAGATATCTTGTTTCCTCTATATAAAATTCAGACTAATAGTGATACATTCCTAATTGTGGGAGAAAAGGTAGAGAATCAAAAACAAGGAAAATCTGGTCAAATAATTCTTTCCTTTTTTCTTATATGAACATGAGTAGAATACTGACTGATAGAACAGATCTACAGGACTATCATGGTGGTTCATGCCTTTAATTCCAGAATTTGTTATGCAGAGGTGGGTGTATCTATTAGTTCCAAGCCAGTCACAACTTCCAAAAGAAAAAAATTACTGACTTTGGAGTTACATCTTTCTGGCTGGACCTTAATCTCCTCATAGAAGTGAGGTGGTAGTAACTATCCTATCAATCCCAGTTCCCTCTCCCTCCCATCCTGCCATGCCCCCCTCTGACCTCCCCTCTCCCCCCATCCACTCCCCAGGGAGAGTGAGGTCTTCCATGGGGGATCATCAAAGTCTGTCACATCATTTGGAGCAGGGGCTAGGCCTCCCCCATGTATCTAGGCTGAGAAAGTATCCTCCATGGGGAATGGGCTCCCAAAGTCCATTTGTGCACTAGGGATAAATACTGGTTCCACTGCCAGAGGCTCCATAGACTGCCCAGGCCTCCTAACTGACACACATATTTAGGGGGCCTGGTTCAGTCCTATGCTGGCTCCCAGCTATCAGACTGGGATCCATGAGCTCCCACTTACGCAAATCAACTGTTTCTGTGGGTTTCCCCAGCATGGTCTTGACCCCTTTGCTCATCACTCCCCAATCTCTACAACTGGATTCTAATTCAGCTCAGTGTGTAGCTGTGAATCTCTGTTTCTGCTTCCTACAGCTACTAGATGAAGGCTCTGGGATGGCATATAAGGTAGTCATCAATCTCACTAACTGGGAAGGGCATTTAAGCTAGCCTCTCCACTATTGCTTAGATTCTTAGTTGGGGTCATCCTTGTAGATCTCTGGACATTTCCCTAGTACCAGATTTCTCTTTAAACCTATAATGGCTCCTTCTATTAAGGTAACTTTTTTCTTATTCTCCTATATTCTTCCCCTGACTCAATCTTCCTGCTCCCTCATGTTCTCCTTCCCCCTCCTCTTCTCCCTTTCTCTTTCTCCTGACTCCCCCTATGCTCCCAATTTGCTCAGGAGCTCTTGTCCCTTTCCCCTTCTCCAGGTGACCATGTATGTCTCTCTTAGATTCCTCCTTGTTTCCTAGATTCATTCTCTGGAGGTATGAATTGTAGGCTGGTAACCCTTTGCTCTATGTCTAATGTCCATATATGAGTGAGTACATACCATGTTTGTCATTCTGTGACTGGGTTACCTCACTCGATAAGCACTGTTTTTCTTTTTTGAGTTTTTGAGACAATTCTCTGTATTGCTTTGGAGCCTGTCCTGGAACTAGCCTGTCTCTGCCTCCTGAGTGCTAGGATTAAAGGCGTATGCCCCTAACACCTGGTGCTAAGCACTATTTTATACACATTCTTTTCCAGACCATCTCTACAGATGTATACATGTACACAATTACAATCCTTCCCTTCTGTCTTGCAGCTTACTGTGGAAATATACTTCTTATGTATGCTAGAATCAAGATGCCTCTGGTTTATTCTAAAAAGGAAGTATTCATGTTTTAGACTTATTTCATGGGAATAATAAGCAGAGATAAATCTCCCGCAATTATTTAAAAATGGTAGATAATTAATTGGATGCTTTGTTTCTGGTTAAAGAATGTAGAATGTATTTAATATTGTTTGTTTTACTTTTTAGTTTTCCCTCTTTTTTTTTTTTTTTTTTTTTTTTTTTGAGGATGACCTCAAGTGGTAGGATTACAGACAGAAGCCTTAGCCTCAGTGCTGGAATTAAACACATGTGTCAACACCACCCAGCTGGATTCTTTTTCTTGATTAACTATTTGTGGAAAAAAAAAAAAAAATCTTAAATTGACTAGAACATACCAGGAGCATCTTTCTTTGTGCTTTCATGCAAAGAACCCATGTGAAGAAAAGCAGGTGTTTAGTTCTCTCTCCCTCTCTCTCTCTCTCTCTCTCTCTCTCTCTCTCTCTCTCTCGCCTGTGTCTGTGTGCATCTGTCAGTGTGTGTCTGTCTGTCTGTGACTTTCTTGGTGAGTGGTGTTCTATGTGATCCTAACCTGAAGTGTAAAAAGATTATGCTAAAATAGAAAGGACATAATATTTAGCAATGAATTTAACAGGGCTGGAGCAATGGTTAGGCAGTTAAGAACAGGTACTGCTGAAGGACTCTACCAGGTCCAAGCGTCACAAACATGGCACTGGCAGATCGTGCCCTTCTCCCTTCTGTCTCTCTTGCTAAACCACTAGATTATATTCCTAAAGCTAACCACCAAGGCCCATTCCCTTATTTGATCACTTCCTTATGCCTAACCCATCCCTGAGGCTGATCACCAAAGCCCATCAATCAAAGCTCATCACTTAGCAGGGCGGTGGTGGCACACGCCTTTAATCCTAGCACTAGGGAGGCAGAGGCAGGTGGGTCTCTGTGAGTTCCAGGCCAGCCTGGACTACAGATCAAATTCCAGGACAGGCTCCAAAGCCACACAGAGAAACCCTGTCTGGAAAAACCAAGTCAGGGTCATGTTCACTCTGAACTGTACAGAGTGTCCCTGCCTCTGACTATGCTCTCCCTTTTATGTACAATAAACCTTCTCCTCTATCATAGGAGCAGTACTGTCCTTTATTTATTTACTTACTTATTCATTTTCATTCAACTGCTCTTGCAGGGGATTCCAGTTAAGTTCATAGCACTGAGGGTGACTTACAACTGCCTGTAACCTCAGCTCTAGGGGACTCTGATGCCCTCTTCTGGGTTCTGTGGGCATCTGCACTCATAAACACTTTACCCCACACATATACATGTACATAATTAACAAAAATGTATCTCATTAAAAAACACATTGTTTCATGTGTATAGGTATTTAGCCTGTGTGGATGTCTGTGCATCACTTGCATGCCTGGTGCCCATGGTTGATGGGTCCGTTGGAAGTAGAATGAGCCATTATGTGTATGCTAGGAATGGAACCTAGGTCCTCTGGAAAAGCAGCCAGTGCTCTTAACTGCTGAACCATCTTTCCAGCACCCCCCCCCCCAAAGATACAAAGGAAGGAAGGAAACAACATAGTAGAAAATTAAGTGATCTTAAGAGCTAGATTGCCTTGGTTATTTCTTGGTTCTAACAAGTTAATTTCTTGAGAGAGAGAGAGAAAGAGAGAGAGAGAGAGAGAGAGAGAGGGAGGGAGGGAGGGAGGGAGGGAGGGAGGCATTCTCCCACTGAACTTCCCCAGCCACAGCCCTTGAGAATTATTATACTTAATTAAATGACCTTCGGTGACTATTTGAAAGATAAAAATGAGTTTGGAAGCACTGTAGCTTCATGCATATAAACAAAAACACATTTAAAATTTGTTTTACTAACTTCTTTTCATGTATTTGTACATGTATGGATGCCCTTGGAGTCCAGAAAACAGCACTGGGTCCCTTGGAACTTGAGCCACCTGATATGGATGCTGAGAATTGAACTGTGCTCCTTTTTAATAGCAACAAGAACACTTGACCTCCTCAGTCCCAAGATCAATTTTTGAAGTAAAACTATGATTGGCATTAGTTTTCTTCATCTAGTATCTTAATTGAAATTGTGGGCTGTGGGATAATTTGTGGAAATTATTGTTTTGGCAAGGTACACTTACTATGTGGCTTAATTTTAGTTTTGTTAGCGTTAAGAGTTCATTTTACTTTGTTATCTGTTTGGTGGTTCATTTGATGGAACACAAAGCACACATATTCTTTGAGACCAATAGATTTATTTTAGTTAAATACATTAAATGGTAGAGTAAATTTTATTTTCTGTGAAGATTTATATAATATATATACATACACACACACACACACACTCGTGTATATATATATATATATATATATATATATATATATAATGTTTATCACCAGTGGTAATGCTGTAACATAAATGTAAAGTACAGTTTGTATTGGAGAATACATTTTCTAATATATATTTGGGCCACTTACACTTTTTGTGTTTACAAATAGAGAATTAACTTCATTGCAAAGATTCATTATATATTCTAAAAGATACCACAATGAGCCAATAAGAAAATTGTATCTTGAATAATATTTTCTTATGTAGGAGACTCACACTACCAAAAGTTGATGTGTAATAAATTTAAAAACTTGAATGGATTTTCCGAGAGGATAACTGGTGACCAGGTTTCCAAATTCATTCATACAGCTCGTTAGCCTACAATGAGCTGAAAATGACCACCATAAAAGACAATTTTAAGCAGCTAGGAAAACTAAATGAGGTAAAAGTACAGTTCAGTGGCACTGGAGACAACGGTGTGACTAGATGGTGGTGAGAATTTTGTAGCGATCAGTATACATGCAAGATAGTCTTGCAAATCCCAGACAGTCAATATAGTGGTTATTAGTTTTTTAATCTTCAAAGTTCATCTCCTCTTTAAAAAGCGGTAACAGTATTGTCATCATATGTTATTAACTATAATTGGAACCTTTTTCTGACTTACAAGGAAGAAAACAGAAGAGAGGCCATCTTAGTAACCAAGTAACACTTGACAAAATGGCAGTTGGGAAGATTACTTGAGGGTGTGTGTATCTATATGCTTGTATTAGCTCAAGATGTCACACTTCAGTTTCTTAGTAATTATTAATACCAACTAAACTCTTGTTTTTAAAACTTGTGAATTTTAAACCAGTGATGCTGCCTCACCCTGGTTAATTCATAGAATGCTAGATCTGGTCCTAAATTTTCCATTCACCCTTTTTCTGTACTGTAAATGTCTATTTCTTAATAACCCTCTTGGTACCACTCTTGGCGAATAGTAAGTTATAGCATTGCAGCTGCAGATTCTCTGGCAGCTGTCATTGGCAGCTGAATTTCAGTCTTCATTAACAAAACCCCTCCATGATTCATATTGACAGTAAAGTTTGAGAATCATAGTTAAAAAGTACCTCACAGGTCAGAAGGGAGCAGTAGGAAATTTGATTGACATCTGAAGAAGCCTTGGAGGAAATGGGAGGAAACAGTGTATTGCCAACAACATTAAAAAACAAAACAAACAAACAAAAAACAACAACAAAAACCTAGCAGGCATGGTGTGCATGCCTTTAATCCTAGCACTCAGGAGTCAGGGACAGGTGGATGCTGTAAGTTTGAAGCCAGCTTGCTCTCCATAGTGAGTTTCAGGTTAGTCAAAACTACATAGTGAGACCCCATATAAAAAGAAACAAAACAGATGTGTGTGTGTGTTGTGTGTGTGTGTTTGTGAGTGCAGATGCACATATGTGTACCACAGCATACATGTGGACGTCAGAGGACAGTTCTGGGGACTAGTATTTCTTTCTTTTTGAGGCGGAGTCTTTCTTCTGCCTGCCTCACATCTTGGTCAGCAGTGCTGAGATCCTAGGTGTGCACCATCACTTTGGCTCTTACTTACGTGGTTCCTTGGATCTCTTGGCTTGCCCAGCTAGTGCTTCTCCTTGTGGGCCCAGCATGCAGACCACCCAGCAACCATTTTTTCAATTCAAGGGGTTTGGGTTTTTTTAATCAGCCAGAAAATATAACATTTCATTATTCTATAATGGTTCGTCAACATCTATAAGTAGGCATTCTCTTTAATATCTGTAAAATTGGAAATACTGCTCAAATATTCTAATTACATTTTATAAATCTGTTACTTGGTTTACTTTTCTCCAGCATTCTGCTTCATTATTTCTTTAAAAGACATTCAGATATATGTATAGTTGCTTCAGGTGTTCCTTTTGATCAGAATATTGTCATCTAGCCTTGTTTCCTTACAGTTGGAATGTTAAAGAAATTCATCAGGCTGCTGACTATCTCAAAGTAGAAGAGGTAGTGACTAAATGTAAAATAAAGATGGAAGATTTTGCTTTTATTGCTAGTCCCTCTTCTACAGAAATATCTAGTATTACTGGAAACATCGAATTGAATCAACAGACCTGTCTTCTTACTCTGCGAGACTATAACAATCGGGAGAAGTCAGAAGTGTCCACAGACTTAGGTCAGGCAAATCCTAAACAACGGGCATTGGCGAAGAAATCGTCTCAAAGTAAAAAGAAGAAAAAGGCTTTCAGTTCCCAGAAACCAGGGCAGAATAAATCGGTGCAGTACCCCAGTGACGTTTTAGAGAGTGCGTCTGTTGAACTATTTCTAGAAGCAAATAAGTTGTCCTCACCTGTAGTTGAACAAGTCATCCAAGGAAATGATACTTCAGAGCTTGAGTTGACCTCAGTTGTGGAAAATACTTTTCCAGCACAAGATATTGTGCAAACTGTTACAGTGAAACGGAAACGTGGAAAGTCACAGTCACACTGTGCCCTGAAAGAACACTCCATGTCTAACATAGCCAGTGTAAAGAGTCCCTTTGAACTGGAGGCCACTGGAGAAGAGCTGGATCCGAGGTATTCGAAGGCCAAGCCAATGTGTAACACATGCGGAAAGGTATTTTCAGAAGCCAGCAGCTTGAGAAGGCACATGAGAATACATAAAGGAGTCAAGCCCTATGTCTGCCACCTGTGTGGAAAGGCTTTTACCCAGTGTAACCAGCTGAAAACACACGTAAGAACCCATACAGGTAAGACTGGTTTTGTTTTTGTTTCCTGTGGCGCATGGTTTTGTGTTGCTCATGTTTTCTCTTCTGTTAGGTACTAGGGATCAAACCCAGGACAGCCTGTACTAAGTTGTATCTCCAGCCAGTAGAGACATTAGTACATAGCAGTGACTGCCTTTCCATAATATTGACCATATTCTTTTATTGTAAAACATTTTCTCATTAGACTCTTAAAATCTTACTTGTAATTGTAACCAAGTATTTAACAGGTCTTTGTTATAATTGACATTTTAAGTTTTACTGCCTCAGGTCCTTAGACATTTTCTCTCATAATAAGCATAAATTTGGTCCTAACCCCTGGCCCTGACTGGGTATTGAACCTAGGGCCTTGAGCATGCTGTGCAAGTACTCCATCACTAAGCTATAGCCCTTCCCCCTCCCCCATATGGCTTTTATTTTGATATAGTGTCTTGCTAAGTTGCTCAAGATGGCCTTGAACTTGCTGTGTAAGTCTTAGATTTTCAATTCCCCTGTTTCAGCCTCCAAAGTAGTTAGGATTATAGAGCTGTGCCATTAGGTCTGGCTTGGTTTTAGTTTTTAAAGTATTTAACAGAGACAAATATTAAAACTCAGTCCAATTTTCACATATTACCAATACTTTTCATTCCATGCTCTTAGACTTCACTGGTTTTTGAATATCATTCTCTCTTGTCTTCTTTGTCTTCCTGTTTTGCCCGACCTTCTGGCAAAGTGTGAGCACCCATCAGTATACTTAGTTTTGTATTTTATACATTTTTCTTGCTGATGACTTTTCACTGTTATGATTAATTTCTTTCCTACTAGTGTTTTCAGTAGTCTAGAAGGACATCCCATTTGCGTTTGTTACTTAGAAATTACCACTTTCTGAAAACAAAAACCAGTACTGTTGGCACTCTTAATAGCCTTAAAAGTTTATGACTTTAGCAAGTAAAACAAGATTCTTTTTTCCCTTCCTAATACAGATGTTACTGTTCTTTTAGGGGAAAGGCCATACAAATGTGAACTGTGTGATAAAGGATTTGCTCAGAAATGCCAGCTGGTCTTCCACAGTCGCATGCATCATGGTGAGGAAAAACCCTATAAATGTGATGTGTGCAATTTACAGTTTGCAACTTCTAGCAATCTCAAGATTCATGCCAGGTAAAAAAAAAAAAAAAACAAAACAAAAGAACCCCCAAGTTGTTTGACCTTTAAGTGAGTTAATTATTGTAATCTAATGAGTACACTTTTTATGAGCTCCCAGAGCAAGCCTCATGTTACCATGCTGATCATTTGATGCTTGCTTTCACCTTGCTTTCATCTTCCTTGCACTCTTTTCATTCCTCTCTTTTGGAATGGGGATTGTTCCATGGAATCTGTGTGTGTGTAAACCATATTTTGACTTTTACAAGTGCTCACAATTCAGAGTTGCCCCAAATCTCTGAGACGTGAGACCTGGACTTTTGGGAGATCCTCTTGAGACTCTTAGAGACAAATGAATGCATTCCCATGTGAGATGGGCCTGGACATTTGGGGCCACAGGTAGACTATACTTTGGATCTGAAATACCTCATTTGTGGAAAGCATAGTCCCCAGTGCAACAATGTGCAGAGGTGATTTTGGGGGAAGTGGCTCAGACCTAATTGGAGAATTAGGGGAGGTGACATTTTAGGTGCTGAGGCCTAGTTAAATGAGTCCTGCGCCTCTGGGGTTTGTGTCTTGCTCTGCCCCCCTCTGTTCTTCCCTGTCTCTTCTTCCTTATTGCTGTGATAGTTCCACCATGGTCTTCCAAGGGAAGTCAGCCCCATGACTGAATGCCTGTAATGGCTGACTATGGATACAAAGTATGTGGGCAGGGTGCCTAGTACTTTATTTTCAAAGCAAATGAATTTACATTTTCACATCCTGTATGTAGCTTTTGATAGAAAAGCTTTGGCCAACTTTTTTTTACCTTCTTTCTTCTTCTTTTTTTTAGTGGTAACAGGGTCTTCCCGTATAGCCCAGGCTAGTCTCAAACCCCAAATCCTCTTGAGAGCTAAGATTACCATTGATTTGGGATTTTTGTTTTGTTTTGTGATGCTAGGAATTTAACTTAAGGCCTCCAATGTGCTAGACGCGTGCTTTACAGCTGAGCTCTGTTTCCAGTAATTGACCTCGTTTTACCGGGCTAGTCTGCCCTTCCTTGGATGTGACTTTACCAGCACTTCTTTTCTAGCCAAACCGCCAAGTTTTTCAAAAATTTCCACTTTGCTTTTACTCACTGTAAATATGGCTAAAAGTAGCCAGTAATGCACATAACATTTGTGTTGTGTACTGTCCAGCCTTGAGATTTCTTCCACTGGGATAAAGTCTATTAAACCCAGCTCAGAGTCTCAACATGGATAAAACCTAAACAATTTATTTGCCAGAATGCAAAATGGTTCTCAAGTTCATTTCCCAGTAGCATGTCTTCCTTCTGTAACTCATGAGCAGTCTATTGTCATATTCCCTTTGCTGTTATTCTTTCTTCCCCTCTCCCCTTTCTAGAAATGGTAGTCCCGTTGACCTCAGACCATTAATGGTCCTGCCTCAGCCTCATGAGTGTTGGAGTTACTGACATGTGTCCATTATTCCTACTCCTGGCTCCTATCCACATTTCTATCAGAATTGTGGTCCTCTGAATTTATATCAGAATAATCCAGTAAGCTCTGCTTGCATCTTTCCTGATTCTTCCTAAAGTCAATTCTAAAAGCTTTTGGACCACATTGTGAGATACAGTCAAAATGAACTCATCCTTGGTACTTTTTTTTTTCTGGGTAGCTATTAATGAGACAATATCTGAGGCAATTACCCTAAAGTGGAAAGATCTATGTTGGCAGATAGTTCCAGAGGTTTGCCTCCATGGCCCATTGGCCTTATAGCTTCTGGGCCTCAGGTAAGGCAAACCAACATGACAGAAAGGGCGTGGTGGAATCCACTGCTCGTCTTATGACAGTCAAAAAGCAGAGGCTGAAGAGAGGACTTGGAACAAGATATAGCTTTCAAAAGTATAATCTCAGTGATCTATGTCCCCTAACATCCCCATCTCCTTGTTTCCATCACTTAATACTACTATAAGCTGGGAACCAAGCCTTTAGCACTTGATTTTTAGGGAGCATTCTAGACTCCCAACTATTAACACCTGGAGTTAGGGGATTTGTTTCAGCTAAACAAGTGACCATCAGAAAGAAAAACAAGATATAGAAGTACAGATGCTAAGGGTAGGGTGCTTTGATATGGAACTTTTCTTTCTTTAAATTACATTTCTGTTTGTTTTGTGTATACCTGTACAATGGGTGACATCCATGTAGAGGCCAGAGGACAACCTGAGGGAGTTGCTTCTCTCCTTCCACACTGTGAACCCAGTGATGAAACTTAGATGGCAGTAGGCACCTCTACCTACTGAACCAACTCACTGGCTCCAAATTTTCTTCTGATTAATGATTAATGTGAGAGTCCCATCTCACTGTAGTTGGTGCCATCCCTGGACAGGTGGCCGTGGGTGTCTAAGACAGCAGCTGAGCAAGCCAGTGAGCAGTACTCCTCCATGGCCTCTTCTTTGGTTCTTGCCCTGGCTTCCCTCAGTGATGGATTGTGATATGGAAATATAAGTTGAAGTAAACTCCATCCTCCCCAAGTTGCTTTTGGTTATGATCTTTATCACAGCAATAGAAACCCTAAGACAACTATATATGATGATGATGTGAAAGTTTAAGTTATTTCAAAACTGCTGTTTGATACCTAAAATTTTTTTGTGGGGGGGCAGTGTTATTTAGAAACAATCTTTGAATTTAAATGTGTAGTCTTAGCCTGTTAATAACTGTAGTCTTAGCCTGTTAAGATGAAATAAAATGTTGCATGAAAAATTATTTAAGAAATACTTCGTGTATACATTGACCTCCAGATGACTTTGCTTACCATTCCATTATACTTTATGTTTACCAACAGGAAGCACAGTGGAGAGAAGCCATATGTTTGTGATAGATGTGGGCAGAGATTTGCCCAGGCCAGCACACTGACCTATCATGTCCGTAGGCATACTGGAGAAAAGCCGTATGTGTGTGACACCTGTGGAAAGGCCTTTGCTGTCTCTAGTTCTCTTATCACTCATTCTCGGAAACATACAGGTAAGAGTTAAATACGGAGAGACTGGTTGCAGTAAGGTTGTAGACAAAGAAATGGGAATTGGGCCCTTACAAAGAAAGGATAGATTACAGACTTCTTAGTTAGATTTCTACATTGTTATTTTGAAGCTGTGTTCATAATTTTCACATGACTCTTAGATTAAAAATCTGACATTTTCTAGAATAATACAAGGTAGGTGAAAACCTTATCTTGTAGTTTATACTTGTTCAAGTAAGATAATTCTGAAGATACATAAATGAATTGAGACATGATTTTTATGACTAGAAAAAAACCTTGTTAGCCTTTTTTGAGATTTATCTCCTTTGAGTAAGTGTGTGAAAGGGGAGGTAAGTGGGAGGTGGGTTAGGTAGGAAACTCATTTGTGGCTTGGGAGCTCCTTTGCATAGACATTCTGAGTTTTGTAACACAGATGTGTCAAGTGAAAATTACCAGTTCTGAAACAAAGTGTACTGGTTAGACCCTTCATTTATAAGGTGGTCCTGCTAAGTACAAACTTCCTTAAATGTTTATATTCTTCTTGAGTAATAAAGTAGAAGCAAGACTTGAAATGTGGCTTAAAGTTAACATGCTCTTGTTCTTTAGAAGCATATTGCCCAGGAGATCTTTTCTGGGAGAGAAGAGACATTGGCAGAGGTAGTGTTTAGTATGTGAAAAGAATCAAGCTAGATAGATATTTAAAGTGATAGTTTGTTATGTTAGATTACTGAAAAATGCCTCTGAGATACAATGTAAAAGGCTTTCTTATAGATGATATTTTTAAAAGCTTACTTTAGATCACTTGTAATTGATAAATATTATATTGGTTTAGTACACCACTTCGCTATCTTTTATTTTCCATCTAGGTGAAAAACCATACATATGTGGTATTTGTGGGAAAAGTTTTATTTCCTCAGGAGAACTCAACAAACACTTTCGATCCCATACAGGTCTGTGTTTAGGGAGAATGTGTCATTTTTTTTGTTCTCTCTTAATTCCTTTGTATGTAAACCTTGGCTTTGAAACCATTGTGGGCTATATAGTATCTAGTCATAACTTGGTGATAATACATTTTTAATGTATACATATCAGGTTTTTATTTTTTCATTTCTTTCTTTTATTACCTTTTTGTTTTTTAGAGTATAATTTAAATTTGGTTAAGAATTGTGTAGAATTTCCAAGAAATATGCCAGATATCCATCAAAAAATTTTGCATTAAATTGGATAGATATATAAAAAATGAATAGATAATACCAAGGAACTATCAGAATTATAAAGTCTTGTTCTTATATGCAAGTTTTCAGATAGAGCATAATATCAACATATTTATTATAACGTAATATGTAGACAGTTTGAAGAAAATGTTGAATATTAAAAATTAGAAGTAAGAAAAATGCTACTTTTTAAATATACTATTCATTTCTTTTCAAAAACCTGTCTTCATAATTCTTATCCAGAGTAATGTGACTAGGAGGAGCTTGGTAATTTGCCAGCTTCTGTATTCTTATATTCCTTCAGTCATCACCTGACTCCTATGGTGCTGGGAGCTCATTCAGAGCTTTTTAGGTGCTGGGTTTACAGCCTATTTCAGAGCTCAGCCTTTACTTGAAAATAATTGTATTCTAGAATATTGTCAGTTTTTCTTAGACGATTTCCTCATTTGTGAGGTGTATGAGAGAAAAAAAATCATAATTATACTTTTCCTAGATTTATAACCAGGTTTTAGCATATGAATGGCATTCAGTATATATCTGATAGCAATAAAAAAGATTGTTTTGTTTTTGAGAATTTCAGATAATGAAAATACTTAATTTCCCCTGAAATTGGGTTATACTTTCTATACAGTAAAAGTGTACCTACGTGTATAGGATTTCTCATCTCACTGTCATAACAAGTTATTAAAACATTTTTTTGCTTTATTTTCATCAACATTTGATAGTTTTGTGTCAGCTAACAGTTTTTAAAATACCGAGTTTTTAAAGTTCTTACCTTGCTTTTTAGGAGAACGACCATTTATCTGTGAATTGTGTGGAAATTCTTATACAGACATTAAAAATTTGAAGAAGCATAAAACAAAGGTCCATTCTGGTAAGTGCATGTGCTAAAAACATGTGCTACCCTGTCAGTGTTGGTCCTTAACGTGTTGAGGTGTGCATTTCGGCACTATAAGTTAAATACATATTTAAAAACTAGATGTAGGCAGGTATGCTGGTTCATGTTTATAATCCCAGTATCCAGGAAGCTGAAGCAGTAATCTCAAATTCAAGGCCAGCCTGGTTACAAATCTAGTTGCCAACCAGCTTGAGTCTCACAGTGAAACCCTGTTTAAACAAACAAACAAAAATCCAATAAAATCGGGCTCAAGGCTCTTGTGCTCATGCCTAATAATCTCAATTCTATTCCCAGATCCCACAGATAACAGGAGAGAACAGTTTCCTGAGAGTTGTCCTCTGACACACATACACATACACATACTAACAAGCACAGACATACACCCAGAACAAACAAGTAGAATGAATTTTAGAAAACAAAACTAAACAAAACTAAAACATAAAGTAGCTTTATAATTTACAGAGAATTCCTCTTTCCTCTTCTTTTGAAATATTGAACTTTATTAAAATAAAGAAAAAAATCCAAAAACCTTCAGGGTCTGGAGTTATGAACACTGCTGCTCTTCCAGAGAACATGGGTTAGAGTCCCAGCACTGACATGCTGGGTAACTCCAGCTCTAGGAGCTCTGATGCCCTCTGTTGGCCCCACAGACACCAGGTGTATACGCAGGCAAAAACACTCAAAAAAAATAGTAATAATAAAATATTTCAACTATTTCCTCTGAAAATATGACTTACTGCAAAGCATGGTGGCATGTATCACACACAGAACTTGAGACAGAGGCAGGAAGATTGTGGCTCAAGGCAAGCTACCTGGGCATCCCTGTCTCAAAACAAGTGACTTGTTAGTAGTTTCAAAAACAAAAGTAAAGATATATGCAAGCTAAGTAGCACTATTCTTGAAAATGCAGTCTGGGTGAGTCAGACAGTAGTTAGGAAGAAAAGAGCTACTGTGAAGATCAACCTAGAAATCTGGAAGAAAAATAGGACACTGGTAGCTCAAAAATGTTCTATCAGTATAGGAAGCCAGACTGCAGACTTTTAGGCCTATGACTTCCTGTACTTATGGCATTCTATCAAGATGAAAGTATCACAAACATGTAGATGAAGTGGGTGTGGTAGTATGCTCACCTAGCTGGTGAGGCCCTAGGTGCAATATCCAGCACTAAAATCTAAACATTAAGTTAATAAATGCCTTTGTAAGGATTATGGTAGAAACAACTGAAAACTGCAGTAAGTCTGTTAAACAGTCCATTTAATACCTAAGGGGTACACATAACTGCATGGCATATGGAGTTGATGCAACCTTGATCTAACACCAGAGATCATGGAACATTGTAAATACAAGTGCTGAAGAAGATAGTTCTTCTGAAGCACAAGAATGGGCTTAAGTTTAATCTGGACATGGTAGCCCATGCTTACTGTCCCAGCATTCAGGATGCTGAGGAAAAGCATGCTGACTGCAACTTCAAGGCCAACTTGAATACATAATGACGGTATCCAAAAAGGGGAGAGCTGTTAGGAAAGAAAAGACTTATTTTACAGAAGTTGAAGAGAGAAGAGTTCAGAGGACAGAGATGGCAGGATGGATTCAGCCCAAGTAGAGGACATTGTAATGAGTCACTAAGACAATCCAGCACAGGTTGTTTCTTGACTGATTAAACTGAAGAATACAGAGAATTGCAACTTAATGAGACAAATTATGCTCTGTTAGCTATCGAATGAGGCTACCGAGATCACATCAGCATTTTTGGGGTGGCAGCAACATGTTAAAACCAGTAGTAAAGTGAAGACAAAAGTGCATCTGTAGTCAGTGTGATCATTTCTCTAGTTGAAGAGTTAAAAGCCACAGAATAATATGAACTGCGTATTGAAATCACTGCATTTGGAAGGAATTAGAGATGTTTAGCTGAGCATATACTCTCAGGCAATGTCTAGCCTAGTTAGGGATTCGAGTCTTGACTGAGTAGAGTGTTAAGAACAGGAGGAATGGCTGCCACAGGGAGGAATATGAAATTTGACAAAAATGTGGTAAGGGAGATGAGAAAAAGTTCACCCAGGTTTAGAATGGTTAAACCTATCTATGTAATGGTAATCTGATTGACCTGCTCTTGCAGCCCAGTTATGCCCGACTCTAGTAGGGCAAGCTTAAGCCAGGCACACTAGTGAGAGAGAAACTGGTTGCAAGTGGGCATGGAGGCTGAGTGTAATTTCTAGGACCTGTAAGTGGATTACCCACCTTAGGTAATTGCTTTGTTTTGTATTGTTAACGGCAGTGTACTTTCCAACTTCCATTTCAGGTACAGATAAAACTGCAGACTGCAGCGTAGATGACCATGCTTTAAATGAACAAGATCCCACACAAAGAAGTCCTTTGTCAGAAACTCTAGATGTGAAGCCTTCTGACATGACGCTCCCCTTAGCGCTTCCACTTGGAACTGAAGAGCACATGCTCCTGCCTGTCACGGAGACTCAGTCTCCCGCCTCAGACACACTGTTGCGGTCAGCTGTGAATGGATATTCAGAGCCACAGTTGATATTTTTACAACAGTTATATTGACTTTGAGGACATGGAGTTGCTAAGACATCCCTGGTAGTAAACATAAACATCTCTGGTAAGGTGCATTTTCATATTAATCCCCATTCATTTGGGCTGTGTGACCGTTATCTTTCATTCATGGAAGTAAAAGCACCTAACCCCGCTTCCTTCCATCAGTGCTCGCTTTGGCTTTTGACTTTCATTGTAAACAGCCTTTCAAGGAGTGACTCCCCCACTATGGCAGCACTGTTTTGGGAGGGTAAGTTTGAGACACTGTTAAAGCTGCCTTAATTCCATTTTTATTCTGATTTTAGAATTCTTTGTTCCCAAGGTAAACCCTGACCTGTGGATTTTTTTTTTTTTTTTTCTCTCCTAACTACAAATTCTACAGTAATATAACTTCCAAGTGTTTCTGTTTGTAAACCCTGTGGAGCAGTATGTAAACGGTTGGGGGGGTTAAATTTCATATTTATTCCTATGAAAATTTAGCTACTAAGGATGAATTGTGCTATTTATTAATATATTCCTTTAGAAATAACTTTTCTAATGAAGCCAAAAGAAGTATTTCTCTTAAAACTCAGAAAAATGTATGTAAATTTTTGTTCATTTAGAATGAACTCAGTTTCTGGAGAAAACCAATAGTCAAACTAATTTTTGTTTTGAGTTGAGACTATATTTTTTTAAATAGATATTTGGTGTTTTTAAGTGGTCAAAAGACAGTTTTGAAATTTGATTCATTTTATATTTTATTAGATTTGTAGATTATTGGAAGTGAATATATAACAAGTTTGAAAATTTTTGATAACCCTATCTTTTATCGGTTATGCACTTTTTGAAATAAATGTTCTAAAAAGAATTTTCTAGATATAAAATACATCCTAGAAATCACTTGGCTTCTGAATTTGATATATTACATAGAAAAATCAAGAAACTTGAGTAGCTTGCTTAAAGCATCACACACACACACACACATAAATAGAATTACTATTTGAACTTTAATTGTAACCTACACTTTTTGATTATCAGTTTATTTACCATTTTCTATTTGAGTTTTCTATACATATGGGTTTTTAAGTTTTATAAATTAAACTACAACTTTTGTTAGCTTTATAGTGGATCTTTCCATTCCAGGTGGACATAGAGAATTCAGGGTCACCCCATCCTAAATGCTTGCTGCCACTTTTTCCCATCTCATTATTCCCAAATAATTAATTTGTTTCACTGCCTCACTTTCACATTTTAAATTATCAGTTCCCATAGTACTGATAAACGTCATGGTGACTATTTCTCATTTCTGCCATGATTAGTTATGCTTATTTGTTTTCATAGTTTAAACGACACTGAAAGAAATTCAGTGTGTTTACTGATACTGAATTCTTTATAGCCATAATTCCTTATTTGGGTCCAGGTCTCAGAAATGAGAAAACATAATAAGAACACTCAATTATTACAGACTGGAGTAACTAACACCATTTCTTAGAGCACATAGCATTTTCACAATAAATTACCACCAATCAAACTGACTTAACTGGAGAGATTATGAAATACCACCTTTGTATAATAAATTTATTATTTAGCTAAGAATGTTGTGTATGTTATAAGAACATACTGAGTTTGAATAAAATTTGTAAGGCTATAAAATGTTCAGCTAATCTATTCTGGTTTAAGATCAATAAAAATTTACTGAAATGTAACAAAACAAAGGAAAAGTAAGAGTCAACCCTTTTTAACAAGTTTGCCAAAGTGAAGAGATTATGTTTAGTTCACATCTTCATTAATCCAAGCATCTAATTGTAGTTGGCTTCTTTTGGGTGGGAGGGCTCCAACCAACTCCCAAATAAAGACAGTGAGAATTACTATTAGCTATAAATGCTCAGCCTTAGTTTATGCTTGTCCCATTAGCTCTTTTAACTTAATTTTACCTGTTTCTATTCATCTATGTTTTTCCTTGGGGCTTTTTACCTTTCATTCTGTTTGTCCTACTTTCCTGTTTCCTCCATGTCTATCTGTCTATCTGTCTAGCCCCTGGCATCTTCCTGGTGTCTCCTTTCTCTTCCTCCCACCCCCCCCACCCAGCCTAAATTCCTGCTCCTACTTCTCCCTTCCAGGAAGTCCTATACTTCCTCCCATACTATTGGCAGTTCAGCTTTTTATTAAACAAATTAGGTGCCTTAGACAGGCAAAGTAAAACAGCAACACATCTTTACATAATTAAACAAATATTCTGCAACATCCAGTGAACATTTTTTTTTTTTTTAAAGTGCTATAGTTATGTGGGCATCATAACACATATCTGTAATCACAGCATTTTGGAAAGTTGAGACAAGAAGTTTAAAAAAAATTTCCTTAAATTGCTATGATGATGTCATAGTTATGAGGGCAAAAATTGCCCAGTTTCCTCAAATGTAATGGTAGTCTTCTTGTTCATTTATTTATTTTTTGAAATTTTGAAAATCACATTTCATAGCCCAGACTGCCCTAAGACTCCTGTGTAACCTAAGGCGTCCGTCCTCATGTTGGAGGCTCCCCCCTCTCATCCTCCACACATGCAACACAATAGCTAACTTGGTAATTAGCATTTTGAAAGCTTCCAAATTTGTTGTTTTCAGTATTATTTCATATAATTGCAATATGGAGTAGGTAAGGTTGCTTTTTTAAATTTGTATTACCTGTATATCTAAAATTATTTTTCAGTTAATGTGACTTTAGTTATGATTTGCTCTTCCAGAATTACCTATGCAGAAAACTTTAAAGACTGAGTGTGCTCTCTCACCATTTTTTTTTTTAATACTAGACTGTTACTTATTTAAACCCGTGTGTATTTTAGATGTATCTGGTAATCATTCTAACACAATGAGTCGCTGGGTTTGCATCTTTATTTTGTTATGATACAGTGTTTTGGGAAAGATTCTTAAGTATTACAGAAGGTTTTGAAAGTTTTTAAAATGCTGAATATCTTAGAAACTATTTTATAACTTTGTTTTATATTTGTATTATTTTACTTTAGTGTTAGCTTTTAGACTTTTTAGAAAAAAGAAATTGTAGATTATATATTAAATTAATTTGGCTGTTGAATATTCTTTATATTTAACTCCACAGACCATTTTGGTAGGCAGTTTTAGAAAGCTTTTCAACAGTGAAAATTCTGTCAATTCATTGGAAAAATAGTTTCTCATTTCTGTACATTTTAATCCTACAGAAATGGCACTAGCAGAGTAGTTGAAGCAGGTAGTTAATTATATAGACTAATTTTTAAAATGTCCTAGGCCAATAGTTGTAATGCCTTTACTCCTATCAGAATGGAGTTTAAGAATAATGATATCCATACCTGCTTCAACTTAATCTACCAAGTCAGACGGTGCTGGGGCAGATGTATGGTAGAAAAGCCCCACAGCTGACCTCAACATGTACCAAACATGAAGAGCTGTCATCCTAAGCACTTCTTGGTGCTGTCTTAGAGAAGCACTGAAACAATGGAATTCTTGAATATACTCTTCTATCTTTTCCCTGGAAATTTAAGTCTGTTATTTGGCTAGAAATACCACCAAATAAAAAGATTAAAGTCTGCATTTTTCACTCACTATTTTGAAATAACAATGAAATTGAGTTATTGGAACATTGATTTTTTTCATTTTGTTTTCAGACAAGGTTTTGCTATGTGTTACTATGTTGAGCTTAAATATATTAAATAGCCCAGATCAGTCTGTGATTCACAGCAGTCTTCCTGTCTTAGACTCCTCTGTGCTGGGATTGAAGCTATGTATCACCACACTTTGTATTAATGTCTTGAGACCATGGTGTAGTCTGTTCTTTTGCCCTCTTCAACCTCTGCCCCCATTTATTGATGAGAGATTTGCTGTATTTAAGGATTTAGCATATAAACAAAGTAACCTTCCAGAAAATATGCAAAAAACAAATAACTACCCACCTTACAGTTAAGCGAGAAAGATCAGTAACAGAAAAATAAGCCATAATGCTGAGGAGTATAGTACAGGAAGGCAAGAAAGGAGGTGTGAGCAGTCAGGATTGGTGAATGAAGAGAGAAAGGGCCATTGTTCACCTGGATAGACAGGTGAAATGACTGACGAAAATTACATGTGGCTGACTGAAGAGGAGCCAGGCAGAATGCAGAAAGTATCAAATGAGAAGGAGGTAACAGCCATGTCTAGCCCAGCATCCATACTGACTCACTTGAAATAGTCCTTGGACAGGGTGATTTAGCCACCCACATTTATAACCCATGATATCACATCCCATGGTAGTTGACTGCTGGAGGGCAGTGATTAGACACCGAGGTTTGTAACATGACTCCATATAGTGACCTCAGTTGACCCAGCGCCTTACTAAGGAGAAGCGGCGCTCCCCTGCCACTGGTCACATTCCCAAGAATTTGGGCCATGAAATGCAACAATGTTAAGTAAGACATGGAAATGAAAAGCTCCTTCAAATTTACGTGGAAGTCGGCGAAGAAAGTCCAAGTCTAAAAGAAGTGAAGCATACTGGAGATCGCTGGTGTTTTAACCAAGAGATCACATCTCAAACAAAAAAAACACAGTGAAACAGTTTCATAGAGCAGCATGAAAATGAGAGGATGGAGGGCAAACAAGGTCAGCATTATCAGGTTTGGTTTAGTTTTTTTCTCTTTTCATATAATCATGATTCTTATCATGATTTCTTTTCCCTAAACTCCTCTAAGATCCTCTGTACTAACCTGCCTCTACCCACCTCCAGGCCCTTTCTCTCTCTCTCTCTTTAAAAACAAGTGGGGGGGGGGAGAGAACGAACACACAAATAGAAACCAAAATATACAGCCAAAGACAGAAAAATACCCAAACAAAGCAATTTGAGACAAATAGTCTACAAAAAAATACCATTGAATTCTTTCTTCAAGACATGGCTTCTCTGTTTAACAGCTCTGGCTGTCCTAGAACTTTCTTTGTGGACCAGGCTAGCTTCAAACTCAGATATTCACCTACCTTTGCCTCCCAAGTACTGAGATTACAGGCTTGTGCCACCACCACCCAACCCTTTGAATTCTTTTTGTGTTGGCCATGTAGAATTGGGCATGGAGCCCTTCTGAAGTGGGCTTAATATACCCAGTGGGGCTCCATTGGAGAAACTAATTTTCCTTTGCAAGTGGATGTTGGGAGCAGATAGCTTCTTGGTTAGGGGTAAGCCCATGTCTACTTCCTCTCTCAAGTGCTGTGTGTTCTGCCATAGTCTTTGAATTCTTAATGTGTATCAGTTCTGTTGTATCTGGAGGATACGGTTCCCTTGGAGTCATCCACCTGCCCTCGCTCTTAATAATCTTTCCACCTCCTCTTCTACATAGTCCTTGGGCCTTGAGGGAGAGGGTTTGATGAAAACACCCCATTTAGGACTGTGTGCTTCAGGATCTCTGTTCACATTGTTCAGATATGGGTCTCTGTGTTTGTTCCCAGCTACTGCAAGAAGCTTCTTTGATAATGGCTGAGTGGTAAGTGATGCACTGATGTAAGGGTACAGCAGAATTCTATTAGGTCATTATATTGCTGTCTCTTTAGCAGAGCAGTAGTATTTGGCTTTCTCCTAGGCCCACGGCCTACCCAGTCACAGGTTCTTGACCACCTGAGGATTGTCAGACATGAATTTCATCTCATGAAGTGGGCCTGAAATCCATCCAGAGAATGACTGCTTACTCCTGCTCTGTTTGTGCCACCATTGAATCATTGGATCCTGTCAGGTCACCAGTATAGACCAAAGGCTTGGTATCTGTTGGTGACTATCTGTCTCCTGAACTAGTGTGCAGAGTACATTTTAGTATCATGAATGCTAATCAGTGTGGGTAAGCCCCCAGCTAGGCTTGTGTTCCATGACCTATGTAAGTGTTGTCTTCAGCAATATGGCTTTACCATCAGTTTGCAGAGAGCAACCAATAGTCTTAGTAATTCCTGGCACTGGAAGTTTCACTTGGTATTGGAATATGTCTAGTTGGGGCATTCTCTCCCTTGTTTGGTGGCTTCATTTAGATTTCTTTCATATTTGTACATATATTTAGGAAGTATCTATAGTAGTGGGCTTCTTAGTGTTAGCTTTTCCTCCTTTACCCCTCTCTTCCTCACTCCCATTTAGACCTCCCACTCTCTTCATAACAATATATTCTATTTCTCCCTTCCTCCCCACTAGTTCCTTACTGGGTACCAAACCTCTGGCTCAATGGATTATAACACATACATCAAAGACTTTAAAGCTAATGTCCATTTATGTATCAGCATTCTCTAGAAAAACACATGATAGAATGAATATATGTGTATATATATATATATGTATGTATGTATGTATATACATATACACATACACACACAAATATATATTCATATATATGATGTGTATCAAAATATATATGGGATTTATTTGAGTAGCTTACAGGCTGTGGCCTGACTAGTTCAACAATGGCTACCTCAGAATCCTGAAAAAGTGGACTCTAATACCAGTGAAGGAATGAACTTGCCAGTGAGAGTGAAGGCAAGCAGGCAAAGTGCAAAAGCATTCATCTTGTCCTTGATATAAACTGCCACCAGAAGGTGTGACCCAGATTTAAGGTGGATCCTCTACTTCAAATGACCTAGTCAAGAAAAATCCCTCATAGGTGTGCCCAGCTACTTGAAGTTTAGTAATTCCAGATGTAGTCAAGCTGACAAGCAAGAATAGCCATCATAAAACATCTTAACATAAAACATGTATACTACATTTATTTTCTGGAAGTCTAGGTTATCTCACTCAGGATGATTTTTTTCTGAGCTTCATCTATTCACCTGAGAATTTTGCAAT